CAAAAAAAACACCCCAACCCCCACCCCATGATTTGAGTGAGTTCTTACCCAACTGCTTAATGCTGCTATTTTGATAGGCGTGAGACCTTTGACTTCGATGATGACTGTGACAGTTTAACGTGGGAGGAGAATGAGGAAACCCTGCTGCTTTGGGAAGACTTCACAAATTGCAATCCTTCAATTGACCTCCAAGGAGAGGTGAGTTTAGATCTATTTTCCCTTGTTTAACAACATCCCTTTAGTTGATGGGTCACTTCAGCTTTTACTTGGCTGTTGTTTGCCCAGCAGACTTGCTTTTCTTTCCAATCCTTTGGCTTGCTTCCAATACTGATCTCCTGTTCAGTTTTGTCTCAAAACTTAAATATCACATTAAAATTATGCAAAGCCAGTGTCAACAAAAACTGGTTCCCAACCTTTCTAGACGGGACCAGAAGTGACCACAGACCTGCAAACTGTGGACCAGCATACTGCAGACTGGAAGTGACTGACAGCTGACCCTTTTTTATATTGAGTATGAAAAAGGCTTGGCTGCTGGTCCGCAGTATGCCGGTCACTTCTGGACATCTGGTCCGACAGCCAAACCTTTGCAGCCCAGTACCGGGCTGTGGCCCAGGGGGTGGGAACCTTTGAACTAAAACAAGAAAATGCACTATGGTCGTTTGCTTGTTTGGGTGTTTTAAGGAAGGGAAATGGCATCTCATAACCTGTTGCTTTAGATCTCACCCTTTATGCAGCACACTTAGTTAGTTTGCCACACTTTTGTTGAGAGGCTTTTATCTCCTTCAGGGTAAGAGTGCACACTTGTGGGCAGTTACCATGGAATAACTGATGCACATTGTAAGCTTGTATCCCAGTCTACCTCTAGGTAACTTTTTACACTTGCAGGATACGGGGACCCAAACATAGGACCCCTGTGTCACAAAGAGAAAAGGATCGTAAATCTTAGTACATTAGAAAGCAACCACTCGGTTATTATAACAGATATTTTATAAACTAACAAGGCAGAAAAGCTGGGGTCTTTGAGTTGTATGAGATTCCTAGGATCTTCTGAAACACTAGGGTCTGTGCTTCTGTTTTTCCCTTCTGCTAAGGCTACCTGGTGGGAATCTCTTGGAGCTTACTGCTAACAAACAGACTCATTTCAGTTCTTAGTCTACGTTTGATGTAACCCTGATTGTTAGAAACTGGCCCGTGTAGTAAATCTTCTGGTAGGTGCTGGGAGATGAGACTTAAATGGGGGGCCCAGCATTGTATGGACCAACTCCAGTGTTGTTACTCCCATTAGTGAATAGCATGGCAGGGCTGGATAAAAAGTAATCCAGCCTTCCTCCACGATTACGACTAGAGCATGAAGATGCTGAGGCAGCGGTCTCCTGAATATTGTGTTGTGTCGACTGCCAGGAGTTTGTTAATTTACATCTTCCCGTTTGTGTATCGTGTGGCATGCACTGAAACTGCAGAGATTACTTAAAAGTGCTAAGACTGCAAAAAACGGCATATTTCACTGTGTCTTCTGGTGAGCAGAGAGTGGCAGAGTGATAATGTAGTGTAGCTGTGTGCTGGAATTAATGACAGATTTATTTGCATATAGCCATGTGTGCATGTATAAGCAGAGCATTACAGAATTCAGCCCTTCCATGCTGCAACTCTAAAGGTTTTAAGAGGCTTAAACCCTTCTAAATGAAAATTATACAAGGAAAGGGTAGATTTGTCTTGTAGATGGTGATTCAGAATAGACTGTTTCAGTGTCTGCCCAGTCCTTAGGCGCATAAAGCATTATGATGTTGAGTCTCTCCTCCCATAGCTCTTTTCCTTTCAAGTTCCTCTTCATCATCTCCCTGGCTTTCATTTCTGACTTCCCTTCTTAAAGCCCTTTTGCATGAAATGGGGTGACCATAGTCAGTCTAACATCCATCTCAAGCAAAGTCATGAAAAGGCTGCTCTGGATGCAGTTAAAGGATGATAGCAAAATTTAAGGCTGATTGATAAGTCTACCAAAACCCTTTTTCCTAAAAATCTTGATGCAACCTTTGAGAGAGTGGAGGTTTGGTTAATAGCAGTGGCATGACATTTTAAGACTTCTGTAAATCTTAATTTACTTCATGATATTCTGATTTTCAAAAAATGCTGTACGAAATCTATACGACGTATAAATGGTTTAAAAAATGGTCAGGTGATTGGTTTCATAGTAATTGTAAATTGAAATTGTTGTCTAAGGGTGGGGACGGGGGGTGGCTCTAGCAGGATCCTATAGTGAATACGTGCTTTTGGCCTCATGCTATTCGGTACTTTAACGATATCAGGAAGAGAACAGGAAATGCAAAAATTGGAGTGAGAAATAATGGGAGCGGTCAATTTATCTACATTCAAGCTTTTACAAAACAATTCAGAGAAATGTGTTTTTAATACAGTCTGATGGAAGGTAACTCAGTTCAACAGTATCTACACGGGGCAGAGGTTTTTTGGTCGATGCCAGTTCTGAATTAACAGGAAAGGGGATAATAAAATCAAAGAGTTGAAAACAAAGGCTCAGTAGTTTTATATTGCAAATAAAGTGCAAATCTAACAGTGTAAGCAGCAGTGATCTATTGATATGGAAGATTCCTCAACACGTGAAGTTCTCAAATCAAGACTGGTTGGCTAAGCCAAGGTGTAGAAGTCACAGGGTTTGGTCCTGTCGCCTGTCAAATGGTAGTTGAAACCTAATAGTTTTTCATATATTTTAGAGAGCCTAGCCCAGTGCGGTTCTGATGCATGCTCCTTATGTGCTATGATAATTTAAGTAACCTTTTTATATTGCATTGCTCCTTTCGCTTGTACACCTGTCCTCGACTCTTGAGACCAACTACTTCCTCCTTTTTACCCAAATCTTAAAGTTCCGCCTTATTTCATGAACCCTTTCATTAATCCACAAAAATACCTCCAGTGTATCGTGTTTGATCCTCTTTCTGGCATGTATTGTGTGTCTGCTCTACATAGCCTGTGTCTAATCACTCTGAGGTCTCCAAGAAATGGTTGTGCCACTGTCTGTATAAGGCTGCGGTCACTGATGCTCAGTAAAGCGGGATGATTAACTCCATCTCTAAGTCGTTTTTTTTTTTCCAAAGCAAAATTCTTTTCTTTACAAATATTAAAACTAGAACTTTTGAAACAAGCAGCTCAGCAGCAGAACGTAAGAGTCCATGTTTTTAAACAAATGCACGTGTTCGATAATGGAGCGAGCTGTTCTGTGCACACTGTGGAGATGCTTGGCCTGTAGTTGCTGAACTTGCTTGTAGCTTTCTGTCTGGGACCTTTAAGAGGATGCTCTTTCCTAAGCTACAGCAGCGTTTCTGTATGGGTTTTTTGCTGAGAGAAAATGATGCATGGCTGTTTTTGTAGGGGGATCTGAGATGAAGTGAAATCTTCAGGAAGATCTGCGCACAAGGCAGACTAAATTGTGATCTATCCTAACTGGTCTGTCAAATTTTTCGGTTGCAGGAGGAAAACCTGGGGAACTTGATACATGAAACAGAATCTTTCTTCAAAACGAGAGACAAAGAATATCAGGAAACTATCGGACAGATTGAGGTGAGGAAATATGCAAGTGCACTTTTTGTATCTTTAAAAAGGGAATGTTTTCAATTTTCAGTGGGGAAGGGCATGTATTCTGGGCCACACAGCATACTCCTTTACATGCATTTTGTACCCGTAATGGATTTTAACACTGCAGAGTTTTGACTTCTGCCATGACCATATAATGTTTCCCGGCCCTGAGTGCCATAATATAGTTTCATAGTTTCTAGGGTCGGAAGGGACCTGGTCAGATCATCTAGTCCGACCCCCTGCCATGGCAGGAAGAGCACTGGGGTCAAACGACCCCAGTAAGGTGGTCATCCTCTTAAAAACCCCCAGGGTGGGAGCCTGCACCGCCTCACTTGGAAGCTGGTTCCAGACCCTAGCCGCCCTGACCGTGAAGTCGCGCCTCCTGATGTCCAACTTAAACCTTCCCTCCGCCAGCTTGTGACCATTGTTCCTGGTCACTCCTTGCGGCGCTCGGACTCCCCCAGCGCCTGCTGATCCCCCCTAATCAGTTTATAACAGGCCACAAGATCCCCCCTCAGCCTTCTCTTTTGAAGGCTGAACAGGTTCAGGTCCCGCAACCTTTCCTCATAGGACCTACCCTGCTGTCCCTTGATC